CCTAGGAAATTATCGAATTATTTCAAAAGCTCATTATAAAAATGGTCTATTAAAAGTCTGGCTATTGTGCATCTACGTTGAACGGCTGTTTTCCCCCCCCCCCCGTGGCTGCCGCAAATTGGCAGTTGAATCGAAATCTCAAACTGTGATCGCCCATCTTCTGGCATTTAAGGCTTTCGTTTTAACTAACTCCCCTCCTACAATTTTATCAGATTGATTAATTGTATCACTTGTAGCTCGTAATCTAACCATCTTCGATCAATTGGCTATTTGTGAGACTGTACATTTATAGCCTGCCCTTGACGACAATGGCGAATTCCGCCGGATTTGCCATACAACAATACGTTCTATCTCAGTGTACAGTCCCACCTGAACACGTCTCCACAACTTTCAGTGATACATGTCCAATCTCAATGAAACTTCACACCGTTGGATAACAGGTTCTGCCCTGAACACGTCTACCATGACAATAATCAATATAACGTGATAGCGCCACCTACTGGCACAGAAGTACGCTGCGTGGCATCTGACTATTACTGAAATTTCTAATGTTTTGGTCGCCACGTGACCACGAGCACGTGACCGCCTGCGGCCGCAGCACGCCCCAAGTTGCGTGGAGTGCGAGGTCCCGCCCAACGCTGCTTGCAGCTTTAATTTAAATTAGTGAGCCAGCTCACTGGTCTCATGACTCTTTTCCACTTGTGCTACTGTTACATTACATCATAATGGTTGTCACCAAAGTAAAACAGTAAGTAAAACACAATGCCCAGAAGACATGTTTGTTGCCTTCTGCTTGTGATACCATTTCCCACACTCTCAGTAAGATTGCTTATGACAATGATTTCAAGAAACTAACTCGTTTGTGTTAGGAGTAGCAGAATGTACCTTGATGCTAACACAAAGGAGAAACCAAAGCAAGAAAGTGTAATAAAGGACCACACTAACCTCAGGGCCAGAGACTCTGGAGAGGCCACTTTCACTGTCTCCCTCTGAGAAAGAGCCTGATTCGTCGCTGGAGTTGCCACCACTGGCACCGAATCCCCGTTCATTTTTGATCTTGGTGCAACCCTGAGAGAAGACCACCTCTCCGCTGTGGGGGTTCCTCTGCTCCATTACCCCAGCCAAGCAGTGAGACAGTCCAGAGGTGGAGCCTGAGTGCGGGGATGAGGAGAAGTCAAAGTGGGGAAGGCTGGAAGGTGAGCTACCACTGCCTGTGTCCTCTGGGTAAGAGAATGAGGACCGGGAGCTGGAAGTCTGGGTTCGGGGCTCAGAAGGAGGAGGGGAGTGGGCTGATGTCTTGATGGGAATAGGGCAGCTGGTGGTGAGGCATGACCGGCCGGAAGAAGGAGCTTCTACCTGCATCAGGGTTGAGACTTTTTCTCTGAACTTGTCATCCATGTAAGAATGGGCCAACATTTGTCGCTCACCAGCTGCTGAAGAGAAAATGACACTGCATCTGTCTAGCTCCCCTTCATGTTTAGAGGATGAGGCGTTGGACACTGGCCTTTCCATGTTCTTGCCAATGCCAGTCAGCGCTGCTGGTATTACATCTGTAATGCCGGTCTTGAGGTCCACTTGACCCAGAGATTCCCTCTTATCCCTCTGCCTGTCTTTGACCAGTTCCCTGTAGTGGTTGAGGGACAGTCTGTTGGTGAGTAGCTGCTGGATGGTGGTGCTGGGCACGCCATTGAGATCCAGGCCACCTCTCTGGAGGTAGGAACGCAGGCAAGAAGAGGGTGAACCTCTGCTCGGAGAGTGCTCGGCTGCTACTGGAACCCCTTCTACCTCCAGCTCCATCTCCAGTACCTCCTCAGTACATAATTCTGGGTTGCAACCGCTCTTTTCGTCTCCTTCTTCCTCGAACACAAATTGTTCCTCTTTGATCCTGGAGGGTGTAAGGAGAGTTTGATGAGCAGCACTGGTGTCTGTGAGCTGTGAGCTCACAGGGCTGACTGAGGTATGGTTGGCCAAAATGACATCATCACTGCCATGATAGTTTTCTCCATTGTGCTTGCTGTCACAGATCTGGTACTGATATTTCCTGTACTTGGGACATTGAGAAAGGTCAACGGGAGGTGACGCGGTGCTTGCTACATGATTGGTCTGCTGCCTCATCTCTGTAGAATGATCCAAGGATATTGCCTCCGAAAAGACTGTGTCCTCGGCCGTGATGTCGTCATCATATTCCACCTTGCTATTACTGGCATGTTGGTCATCATTCTGTAGCTGGGCTTGAAGGAACCGGAAGCAAGAGTCCTCCAAATTGTGAACACCCAGGAAGTCAGCGCACAGGATGACCTCGTGGATGTTTTCCCGACTTAAAACCAGCTTGGCTGTGTATGCAAACTGGAGCAGTGGAGCAAAACCCTTAGCTGTCACCTGTAGAGGAGAGTAAAGAAGAAATTTGTGTGACATGAAAGAATGGTTTTACTGTCAGTGCCTTAAGCATCCATTTCCAAGTGAGCAAATGTTACATCAAAAAGATTCCTATTTTGTTCGAATAAAGGCATAGGCAATGATAATATTTGTTGTGCACCAAGTCAAAAAGGTTGTGTTGGCCTATCTCCACCATTGCATTTTATTGCTTCCTATACAGATCAGAGAGCAGAGCAGTACTGTCAAAATTGTAAACAGGTCTACCTAGCAGTTTCTAACTACTCCAGGGAAATCAAATCCAGGGTGTGCCTGGGGGTCATTCTGCTGTAAAAAAGTGCATTTTTACGCTTTAGGTATTTTGTCGTTGCTAATACAGGCCAGGGGAAAACATCAAGGGGGTTGAAATTACCTCTAGCCTATACTACAACAATCCACATGGTAAATTTACATAATGTATATTTCCACACCACTAATTCCATCAGAACAACAGAGTCAGACTCACCAGTCTGATGCTCTGAGTTTCTCTCTTTTACAGACACAATGTTTTTGTTATTTATTCCAGCTGCCGAACTTCTAATCAGTGTTGCGCTACCATCAACAAAACGCAAAACTTTGTACTGGGTTTCTTTACTTTAAAAGGTAACTTATAAAGACACTGCAAGATTCTGGAGGGAATGTTGATTTTCATTCATGGTAGCTCAACATTGTTATGGGAAAAAAGACAATGTCTGACTCACTGTACTGATGGAATTAGTGCTGAGGAAATGGACATTATAAATAACCGAGAGAGAGAGAGAGAGAGAGAGAGAGAGAGAGACAGACAGACAGACAGATGTACAGCAACAACAGTAGCAACAACTACATTAATAGTTGATGATCGCTGACCGACCACTCCAGAACAAGCCGATGCGGAAAGCAGCAACGATGGGGGACATCGACGCAGCGACAACAGTAACTGTAGCAACTAGGTAAGTCACTCTACATAATCCAACTAACTAAGTAATACCACCACAACGGTAAATGCCACTCAGTGCTGTTAGCAATGGTCAGTTCAACGCAGTCACAAGCACAGAGACTCCCGGGGAAGAAGTGAAGTTGAGGGTGACTACTTAATGGGACATCATGCGAGTGCAGAAAGCCAGAGAGAGAGGAAGAGAGGACTCAGCGCGTGGCACGCATGGCCGATCCCCCATAGTCTACGCCTACCTAAGAGCGCCGCGAACTAACTAAGGGACCTGCGCTTCAGCGCTCCATCTGATCCACGCCCTAGAGACACCCTATACAAGGCATCCCTTATCACAAGAGCGAATCGTCCCTTAACCTACTCTCTCCAATGTGGCAGAGGGTGTCTGCCTCCCGAACCACCAACTTGGAAGCTGGTTCGCACAGGAGAGGAGCTTGGTGAACTGAGGCTCTGGCTTCCTGTTCACTTTTTAGGCACTGACTCACGGCCACCACCAACTGAAACGCCTGGCATTCCAGAGAACGCAGTGTGTCTAGAGGGGTTAATCAGGTGTACTATGAGCTCTTCAAGATAAAGAAGGGGCCTGACCATCGAAGAGCTTTATAGGTGACCGGAGCGAGATATAATTTTTAAATTCTATTCTACCAATTTAACAGGGACCCATTGCAGAGAAGCCTAGACAGGGAGAGGATGTGCATCGTCGTTTTCCGTAGCTTCATCTGTCAGCCTATGCGTCGCGTGCAAGCATTTTGAATTGAAGCTTGGCGCACACGCTCTCTAGGATGGACTTACTGAATAACCCCTGATAACGGCCATCCAAGAGTGGTGCGATTGTCGTAGACACTAAAATGATGCGCACCTTGGAGTTCTTTTCTGATCTGTCTGCTGACAGGGATGTGTCTAATTCTTTGTAATGCACTTCCTAAATAGCGTCAGAAGGCAGCCTCCTAGCAGAGGTCTGCCTTTACTGCTGGGAATCTAAATGACAAAGTCATGATCAAAAGATGAAGCTCCAAGCTATTTCCTGAACAGTCCGGCACTAGAGGCCGCAATGGGGGTTAAAGACCTGCCCATCCTAGGACCGCCTATCTACCTATCCCCGTTTAGACAGCTGAGTTATCTGAGTTCTTTGGGGCCAACACGTATAGAGAAATTCTCGTTTAAAATATATATATCTAGAGAGTCTCGATAACACATCAGAAAGATTGCAGCATCATCCAGGATTGTTATGTCCTTCACCAGACATGTATTGTGTACATCTTAAATAATAATCTGATTATCTTCATTGGGCTCGTGATCGACCTAGATATAACTGCGTATCATCCTGCGATAGCCAAATGCGAACGATTAATGGAGTTGATTCCTAGACTAGAGGCCTGTGCAGATATGTTCACTGGATGTCCTGATTCGACTTTCGAATCTAACGAAATGTATCCGAATAGTCAGCGATGTCCGATTCGGATTCTCGATGCACCGGCCGCCGCCCTCCCGCGGGGAGGGTCACGATGCATCACGATGCTCAAATACACTTTTTCTATCTCAAGACCATGATAGGATCATTTTACGAACTACAATACCCCCCCCTCGTTGCACTTAAGAATACCTCGTCACCGTCGCACCCAGCGCTTCCAACTACTAACTACAGTTTTCGTAGTTACTTACTTCCTATGGTTTTGGTTTTCACATCCAACAAATACACAGTAGTAAACGACTACCCGTCCAACCGCGTACAGACCTATAAACCGATCTTTTCTTATTTAACCAAGTCTGACCACACAGACAGCACACACACA